TGCGATTACATTTCTTCGTGTCCGTCTCACTACTGGACGAAAATACTCGCTCGCATGGAACGGCAGATGCCTGTATAGGGAGGTAGTCCATCGCGATGCCATAAAGCGTCGGAAATAAGGTCTCCGAGACCTGGTGAACACCTCATGGTCAATAAATATTTTAATTGTAGAGATATGGGACGCTTACCATCCAGAACCCAAGTATGTCTGTTCCCTTGGGGCTGAGATTAGCCGTAGAGTAGGCCTCGAATTCTTGCTCGACTGTTTGGGCGCCACTGTTGTGACATGGCAGGACGCCAATGTCAGGAAGATTATAAAGACGGGAGCCTAGCGAGGGCAGTTGTCGCTGAGGTCTTACTTCATTAGCTGGAGGCGCGACGGGTGCTGAGCTGTTCGTGGTTCGTTTTTGATGCATCTGTGTGTGCTAATATTAGATCAAAGTTGCGTTGATATTGGTTTGACAGACGTACCAGATCGATGATATGTTTCTCTACATCTTTAACCAGTTGTTCCGCCCAATGACTCCGAACCCATGACATTCGGACCGCAGGATCAACAACTATAAATGCAATCGTGAGCAACCAAATATTTAAAAAATATACCAGACTCACGCATAGCGACTGCATAGGCATTTGTGGCGCCCAGCCTGTCGTCATACTTATCTGCCCAAATCAAACCTATCTCAACAAGAGGGCCGCAGTGTGGGACGTGTTTGGCCAAAGAAATCCACCGCTCAATCAACGTTTCGAATGCCGGGTATGTACCACTTAGCATGGGAGTGCGTTCGCCCGACATGGATTGTTGGGCAGCGTGGGGCGCCTAGTATAGAATGATCAGATGGACCGGAAGTTTCGAAGATACTAAAACTAACCTCTAGGATTACTTCGACATCCTGTAGGAACTGCCACTCCATCGGACTCAACTTGAACTTGCTGATGGAGCGCTGAGTGGGAGAGTCGAAAAATAAATCTACTGCCTGGGTAAAATATTAGCTTATGACAAATATTTCATGCGTGATGCCTTACCTGGTGAATGGCTCGTAAACGGTTGAGCATGATGTAGACTGAATCCCAACGGGTTGCCTCATCAAGCAGGAGTTCGACGACAGGGAGGCGTAGTGTCTTGCCCGCGTCATCTTGGAACCACTCCTTCTCGTTACCTGTGACGATTGTGTCCCTGAAAGAATTACGTCGCTGGTTGGACGCGCGAACCGTGCGCACAAGGTCCCTAGCTCTGCTGATAGCTTTCCCTGTCACCGCTTCTAGGTACTCCGCCTTGATGATCGTGCGATCGCCGACTACCCAATGTTCATTCACGAGCGAAAAGTCGGCCTTGTGGTATTCATCAATAATATGCTTGACACATATATTGATGATATGTGGGAAGCATGGGATTCTGTGCTCGATGGGGTGAAAATCAACACCACGGCACGCCAGTTTCTCTGAAAGCGCTCGCATGGAAACCTGGTTGCTTGCGGCGTTGTCTAAGGTAAAATGACCAGTCTAAACAAAGTCAGAGCGTGTTATACGGTACAATTAAACACTGACCTTTTTAGTCACAGCGGCGCGATCAAGAAGATGCAAGAGGACTCCTGCCAGGAATTCGCCAGTGTGACTGCCTGGAATGTGATGGAATCCTATAAGTGCAGCCCTCAGAACGAGCATGGAACTGTGGTCGGCCTTAGCAATCCAATGAGCTGTAAGTGCCATGAATGGGCGAATGTTAGAATCCGACCAGAGGTCAGATGTGAATGCGACCTTTCCCTGGGCGGCCTAAAAAATATAAGGTGCTTTGTAGGGTCTTGACAGCTGTAGACTTACCGCAAGATCCCTCTTCAACGCATTGAAGTATTCATGAAAAGCGTCAATAACTAACTCGCGAACTTTGGTACGGTGAAATATATCGCTCTCGGTCACCGATGGCCGCAGAAGACGGATCAGACGACGAAATTCCGGACATTCAATAATATTTATCGCCTGAGGACAATTATTGAACATTGTGTGTAGAAAGTATACATTGACTCACCTGGTCGTCCGCAATGATGAATTTGACGATCTGTTTGTGCATTTCGTCCAGACTAAATGCAGGCAATGCATCGTCTGGAACTGACAGGCTAGTGCCGGGGAGTGGGCCAGGAGTAGGGGGAGTACCGAGTGAGTCTAGCGTGTAAGCCGGATCCTTCAGCCTTTGACGCATGGTCGCGACCGTCCAGCCTTCATCCAAAAAAGTATTCAAACGTGATGACTTATGGAGGACATGCCAGTGCTGACGCTCTGCCTCCTCCAGGTAAATCTCAGTATGGTCGTTGAAGGCGTGTGCACGACGAGCTGAAGTGCCTGTACTATGAAGGTATGACATGACGTGGTGAGTGTCGTCGTTCGCATGGATTTTTCTGGTGACGGATGTCAGAAAAAATGATAGACTCCAGACACGATACTTACTCGCAGGCTATGCATATATTCGACCGAGTGTCAGGGTCCTGTCTGAAGAAGAAGTGGACATCGGCAGAGGATTTAGGCAGTTTGACTCGGCCACCAGTGGCCAGAGGGTCGGTTAGAATGGTACTCATCGCGGTCTGCAGTGGACTATGGCCTGCAGCAGGCCCAACTGCAGGCGCAGGTGGGTTGACCACTTCGTCCTCCTCACCCCCAGAGACGTTCTCAAGGTGGAAGGATTCCCCGTCATCTGAGGCATTTTCACGAAATCTAACGGGACGCTGATGATGCCTTTGAGGGTTACGAAGTATATTTGCATTCACTGCAGCAGCGATTGGAGCGGGAGCAGCTGTGGGAGTAACGGTAACAGCAATGGGAATTGGAGCGATAGGAGCGGGAGGAACAGGATCAACGGTGGGGACAGCGACAGCGGCTCTGGCAGTAAGCCGGGTAGTGTTCTTCCGTCGAGGAGGCATGTTGGTGGTGGTGGTGGTGATGATCCAACTAACAGCAGAATTACCGGTCTAGATATATCATGACATCTGGGGAAACCCCAGAACATGCCGATGTGCAGTGATCTTGAGTCCCTGATGGAAAAGCCCAGAGAACAATTGTCACGAGGTATGAGTCCGCAACTCATACATGCCTCATGCAAGTTAAATCTAATTCAGCGGTGAGTGGGGGGTGAAAAAAAAACTCCCGCAATTGTGCATACCTGCAGAGAATCAACTCCAGCTTGAAACTCCAGACTCCAGAGGGTCCAACGGCTTGAAATCGAGCACGTACGTCTTCATCCTCAGGTGTAGTTGAATGATTGATATGATCAAAACAAGATTTCCATCGATAAGCACTCACTGAGTCGTCGTTATTATGTGGTATGGCTGTATTGCCGACTGTGATGATTCAGGAAGTCACGATGAGTCCCTCGCGAGTTACGAAGGCCATCTCCAGGCAGGGCTGCAGCCTGCAGGATGTTGAAAGATAAGAGGCGCTGCGTGGGAGTGGAAGTTTTTCAGATATCAATACATCCGGTTCGGTGGTTATTGCATCCGCCACGTCATATGTATGCTGCAAAGCTCGTTGTAAGAAATTGTATATGAATCCTACTATATCACAAAGTACGCGTACAGTACTTGCTTGTACAAACTACTCCATACAGGTGTCCAATAGCATCATGATCTAGGTCTTTTCCGGCGTGGAGTTGAAGATGTTGCATGTAACGGGGAGTCATTTCGTGGGCGCAAACTTGCAAATTGCAATCACATTAGTTCGTAAGTACTAAGATAAATGGACTACTCACACACGAGTCGATCTGCGAAGCGGCGGGCATGGAGGCACTGCCTCAATTACACAGGGTCCGAAGAATGGAGGGGAATGTGTGATAGGTACATCAGGCTGGGTAATATCCAGCAAGCACGCAGCTGGTGCAGGTGGTGTAGAACGAAGTACGTGAAGCAATGAGCGAAGGTGGTTATAGTCGGGATCCTCTGAGAATGCGAGTGAGCGCGTGTAAATGAGAATTGTTGCGAACTCGACAGGAATTCCATGACATAAATCTTCGATGGTGGTGTTCACTTTGCGCTCGAGTATGGAAGCGCTGGAAAGTTTCTCTTGGTCACTGGTTAACCATGGAAGGGAGCCCTGCAAGAAGTATATCAACATGTACGTAAGTGACTCGAGATCGTCACGACGGCCTGGTTCGACTCCCAAGTGATTGTTGATTGACGCAAATGCAGGAGTGCCAGTGAGACGTTGACCTTGGCGAAATGGAATATGGACACTGGTTGACATATTCCAGAATTCCTTCGCGATGCCGAAATCAATAATAAAGGCGGTGTGCTTCAAATCGCCAAGACCCAGAACAACATTTTGTGGTTTGATGTCACCGTGAATATAACTGTGCGAGTGAATGTATTCGAGACGTGAGAGCTGGGGAAAGGGGTTAGTGATCTGTACATGCATGATGCAACCCGCACACCGACTGACCAGCTGATCTCCTAGATTTATGACAGTGTCAAGGCTGAATTTTCGGCTGTGGGAAAGGAAGAGACTGTGGAGGGATGGCCCAAGGAGATCGAGAACGAGAGCATGATATGTCGACTCCCTACCGAACCAGAGGGCGCGGGGAATACCAACACCACCTTCAAGGTGTTTCAAAATGTTGTATTCGCGCTGCACGGAAGATGAGCGATTGATGGGTTCGAGTTTGACGGCAACTGCATCATCCTTTATGATGTTCCGTGCACGATACACGACAGCTAATGGGGTTTCAATGTCAAATTCAACATGTAGTCAGTAATCATGATATGAAAATAACATACCATACGAGCCGGATCCCAATACATCTCCTAACCTAAATCTTCCATCAACTCGAACGGGGACCTTATCCATAGTGTATACAAGTAACAATAGCCCACGACTAGAGAAATCCAGGGAATCCGACCAACAACACTGGAGGCAACAAAAAAGCTATTCTTACACACAACCACGTAGCTTGAGCTGGCTTAAAGCGGTTCAAGCCGCGGTTCATAAATTTTTGGCTTGTAAAAGTTGTAGCTGGTTCACATGGCTAATGAATCGGACCAAGTCAGTGATCAGTGGCTTGGCTAACGGGTATCGCCGAACTTCTGGCAAACCGGTAAATACCGAACCGGAGCCAGCCATAGCCGAGCCGTGGCACTACTAGTAGCATGGGACACGCTCTAAATGATTAACATCTGTGAGTTACTTTGCAGGAGATTATTGTCGTGGTACCGAATTGGTTGTTCGAAGTCGAACCACTTAAAATAGGTCTTGGGGGAATCCAATACTATTGCATTGCCTTTGGAACTAGGCTACTGTTTGCCCACGCTCGCATGAAGCTGTCTCGGTACTTCATACTGCACGCGGGTTGCGCATTGATTTTTTGTCAGGTTACCTGCATCCCTTCGACTATGAGGTGAGTCGACCAGCTCGCATCGCACATATTATTGAAGCCACTTGAGGATTTTTGCAAAACAAAACAAAAGCCAATGATGTGGTTGTGTTTATGAGTCCTTTGAACAATTACACTACTATTCAATTAAGAAGCTGCGAGAACATCCTAATACTCGTTTCTATCCTATATTCCAGATTGCAGCCTTGACACTACAATTAATTCCTTTCGGTGCGGTAGGTAGTAGTGATAGAGGCCAGTATTCTGCAAATCGCGTTTGTCTCGGCTAAAAAAGCGAAGTATAGTGAAAAAAATACACACACTGAACAGTCATAGTCAGCTACGTCTAAATTGGACGGCTGGTTCAGTTGCGACATGTTTCTTTGAAAGAACTTGACGCCCATTTGGTCGAAAAAAACTTCTGGTGAAGAAGAAACCGTGATCAACCGTGTGTATTCCTCCGGAAATAATTGATGTCCCAGGCAACACCACTTTTCATCATACAGCGCGATCAGCGCGCAAGGGGGATTCTTTCCGTTATCAACAGGAGAAAATCCTGTTTCTGGACAAGTTTCCTTTAGATACTTTGCGAACGCCGAGTTCCCTGGATACCTCCCTATGGTCTTATCGATCCTCAGCCAGTCAGGCTGTGCGAAAAAGTGCCAATAGTCATCGTAAGAGGATGGTCACCTCAAAGCTTCGCAAGCAAGATGACACCAATGCGGGGTATCACGAAAACGACGATGCCGCACTTGTGCGGTGTCAACTTGCGAGGATAGGATGTATAACTGTACGGCGGCAGAGGATGAGCTAGGCGCTCATATGAACGGGAAGTCGGGCAGGAGATGATGGTCATATAATAAACAAATGAAGGGAAGTTACACTCAACAAAACCACAACGAGGTCAAAAAAACAGCATAGTTGTCCAATAGCGATTGTTGCCAGCGGTGCAGAGGCAATAAGTCCGCAGCTATGTTGCACTACAGAAGCCATGTGATCTACATAATCATCAGTGAACCTGCAAACAAATGAGATTGGCATGTAAAGCAATATATTGTTGAGAATCACAGTAATCAGCGTAAAATTGCCGACCACTTTGACATGGGAATGTTTTGCAATGTCGAGGTAACACGAATTTGCGATCACGCGGGCTTGGTAGCCAAATTAGCTCTGTGAACTTTTTCAATTGAATGGATCCAAGAAAAAATGCACAAGCACAGGTGCATGGAGCCAAATATGGACACAGCCTGAGAGTGACCATGAAGGAGGTTGCAATGTGCGGAAACAAAAGGCAATTTGGTGATGCTCACTGGTGGTGCGGATGTGTATCGTTTGGTCTTACACGGTATGTTTTCGCCAGCTGAAGACGACTGTGACATGTCCGTAAATTGTTCCAGGGTATAAACTATGGCCCAGTGTCAATATTTCTTCTTAATGGATGGATCTTCCGTATTGACTGATAACTGCGAACTCGTGCGTATAAAATATTTATTTGTTGAGTATCACACAAAACAATGTGTTACATGGAGCGCGAACGCTGTTCCAAGATATGTCGGAGTAGATATGACTTCTCAGTGGATTGATTTTCTAGTCTGTCGCTGACAAATGTCAGTTATCCAGTGGGAACCTTGTGGAATATAATCACACATCAAATCATCCCTCCGGGCAAAATGAAAAGTCTACTATTTTTATTCAGTTCGAAGATGCTGCAGTAACGACTGTGATTGCACATGATTCGAAACATTTTGTAGCGTTGCAAACATACACGGTGGCAGTGCTAGATTACAATCTCGCACAATCTTTGGGATCTTCACAGTTGTACTCCATTGACTCTCTTGAGCCCAAAATTTCTCAAAATCAGGTAGACTACGGAACTACGTTATCGGTACCTAAAGGCAGTATAAGCATAGTTTTTAGGCCTTATGTGGTCTCATCCCCAAAATGACCAAAAGTAAAGTTCCCCGCACCAGTGCTTCGTTGTTGCGATAAAGACAAGGCCATTATCATGAAAAAAATATGATAAATTCTTATTAGCCGGGGGAGACAGCCCTTCTGGAGATCTAAGAATAAGGAAGGTCAGTGTTGCCCAGTCTGGCATTCGAGCTTGAAGATATGTGACAGCGTGCTGATGATAACTTAAATTCAAAGTCGTAATGCAATGCATCAGTGAACCGGTGTGCCACATCCGATAATTCCTTCGGGCAAAATCAAAACTACACAATTTTGAGCGACTTCGAAGATATCGCGGTAGTGACCGTATTTTTGATCGATCCAAAATTTGGTGTAGTGGTGTATGTCGCGCGGTCTTTTCGGGCAAAATCAACACTACACAATTTTGATTGACTTCGAAGATATCGCGTACCGTGACCATATTTTTAATCGATCTAAAATTCTGTGTAGTGGTGTATGCCGCGCGGTCTCTGGCATTTTCACTACAATACACATTTCTTTCGCGTTATCCAAAAAACAAACAGATTTCTTAAAATCACCAAATACAAAGGTGTCTTGTCATTTAAACCGTTGAGTAGAACTTCGTGACTGATCATGATATGCACATCAAAACAAAAATATTATTGGCAACATAAACAACGAAACCTAAGGGTAGAGGTGCACTAATGCGGCGCAGGGAAGAGTATCCGACGCAGTGAATATAGGGTAACATACGAGGGCGGGAAAAGGAAGCAAAAATGTTAAGTAACTATTCGTCAAACGCGTCATCTTCCATCTCCTGTCTCTGGGCAGCGAGAGAGTTAACAGACATCCAGGAAACAACGTCCATTGTCAAGTCCTCCCGATGGTTTCTCCCGAAAACTTTTCTGCACAAGGGGTTAGCGAGCCAAGTGAGCAAGTGACGATCGATGGCTGACCTCGTCCACCATTCAAGAAGCTCTCTGACCCTGGCCCGTGCCGCTGGACCCGGGGCGTCATCGAAGAAATCCATGATGTTGTCCCAGAAAATTTGATAATCGAAGTCTCCGTCTAGAGCGCGCCAAGAGGTGATATTAGAAAGCGCAAAACGGATCTGCAAAATAAAATTTCAACCATACGGCTAGAAGTAAGTGTTGATCATTACTTGACAAGTTGCATACGCGATCGCACGAGGAGTAACCTTCCTCATACCTATGATAGAAGCCACACAAGTTTTCACTTTGGTTTGGTCTGATCGTCTCCGGGAGCGTCGGTTATTCTCGATGATATCGGCACCGTCGCCGTCACCATCCACTTCGTTGGCAGACGACGGAGATGTAAAGATAGCCTTGAACCCCTGGGAAGCGATGAGATGTGAATCAGTTGGAAAAATAAGGCTACTCACCATAACCAACAGCTTCGACTTGAAGAGACCACGTTCCAAATTCTTGGCATCCGCTTGATAGTTTTCATACATGAATGTCGGCCATGAATTCTCAGACACAATGAAGGTAGTTGTACGGTCACAAATACCAGCTCTGACGCTGGACTCGGAATATCAGTGACAATGCGAGCGAAGAAGACCATCACTTACACTGGGTCTCCCCACCGCCATTCTGCTGGGCAGAGAAGTTTGCCGCATGCGTCGTTCGCAAAACCCCGATGGTGCTTGTCATCCAACCTGATGAGAGGAGTCGGATTGTACTCGATATTCACCCATGATGCCACGAGCTCTTTGAGAGTTCCCGTGTCGTCACCACGTGCTGAGTCTGCGCCCTGCTTGAGCTACATGGAAAATGAGCAAACGGACAAAACAGATGTCGGGAAATACCTTTTTCAGCATGTCATCCAACTCCTCGTTGTCAAACTTTGACAGCTTTTCGTGAACCCACGGCAATACTTTAACGAATTCAATGTAGCCTCGTTGAAGGCGCTTTTGTCTGTTCCTTTCCGTAAACAAACATGAGAATGTGAACAAGGGTACCGCTTACTCTGGAGTGGGGTCGCTGTTTAGGCCATCATCACAGCGCCGGTCATTTTCGATAATTAGATCCCGTATGGGAGTGTAAAGGGCCACCATCCGTCGAATCGCTCGTCCCTGTGAAACATAATATGTTGTCTTCCTAGTGACAATGAGACATTTAAACCGCTTTTAGTGGTCAAGAAATGATGTGCGCACCTTTGCTTTATCGCTTTATCCTGCTTCAAAAGTTCAACCTCCTCCATGAGGGCGGCGATTTTTCGTTTCGCCCTGGCATCAGAAGACGTTTGGACACAAAGTGATGGGTCCGAAGGAGGAAGGGCATTCTCAGACGACATGCCAGAGACGAAGCACGAATAAGTGGGGTGAAGGAGAAAGAGAGCGGAAAAGTGAATGGCATTGAACCTGCGAGGCCGTCTTATATACTTGCGGAAAATTCTAATGACCAATTGAAAACCTGACCGTCAATGTTAAATTACTCAGATAAATACTGGAAAATTCGCCTTACTTGGTAGTCTGTCTCGAGCCCGTTTTGGTGATCCAGTGACAACCACTTCTGCTCTGGTAGCGCGTGTCCTGCTATACACAACCCGGCTCTTGAATCATTTTTGGGTTAGTCTGAAAATCGAAGTTGCGGCGAGGTTACAATAAGGCATCACTGGTTATAGCCTAAAGTAGTAGGTCACTTCGTTGCCAATATATTCATGCAAATAATGTAATGCTGACCAAGCAATTTGTCATGCCACATCTAGATGAGGTAGTCACGGTCAACAGGCCGAGATGTTATCTTGCTTGTGTGGAGGGGGTTAGTAACGGGTAGAGCTGAGGGATTAGTACTTCCAGAGGATGAATGAAAGTGCCATCATTTATTCTGAACTTACAAAATGTGCGAAATAGGGTGTAGGTGAAGGCCGATTTTCTTCTTTGGATGGTGCTGGTGCACTGGGCTGCGTCTTGGCCTCACGGGAGCGCAAGTTGCGAGGATTAGCCAGCAAGAGGAACCTTCGCACGGGAGCAGTGAAAGACCTCATGATCATGAAAATTGAGCGCAATGCCTTGAAGAATGCTAAAAACGAAGCTGAGATAAGCTACAAGTACAATTGTGTCACTATCACTGTCACCGTATGTAGTATATTAGTATTGAGAGAATGACTCGAAGACTCGGATAGTCAAGCCGTAGTGACGAGCGAAGCTTGAGCCATTATAGAATTGCTAGTCAATTGTGCGGTAAGGGCAGCAACGTCCACAGGGGCCATGTTATCGAACACCCTCAGGAATTCGGTATTTGTGTGCGTGGCTTCTTCTGGCACAAACTTCCTTTCGACAAATCGACCTGTCTCGTATTGTTGCAGCGCCCACATACAGACCGTAGCGGTCATTGAGACTAGGGGTCCGTAATTGCCGTTAGATATATACCTATGATATTGAAGCGGACTGTCGTATAATACATATCGAACGATTCGGATGATGGCTGTGTTCGCGAAAGCGATCAATGCGCTGCCAATTTGAACTCCATTGACCTCAAAGGACGTCAGTGTGTTGATTTATAAATTTGAGTCAAAAGACTTACAGATAGTAGTTGGCCGAAGATGAATAAGTCATTGTTCAGCAGACCTTGAACATAATCTGCGCGTTTGACAATGTCCGACTGCTGTAACAGCACGGGCATGTCAAAGTCGAGTCCGTACTGCTGGTACGTGAAAACTTGTGCCACAGCCAACATCTCCTCAGATACATCATCTATAACGGATCCCATCTTGTTGTCGATGTAGGTCTTGTCATTCATCGTCTGGATGGCCCATTCGTGGTCGGTCCCTGTTCCTTATCAGTCCCATGTCTTACTCATAACTTCGGAAGGACTTACCGTTGAATGTGTTGGCCGCAGTTTGCCACGAAGAATCCACCGTCGCGCTAAGTGAACCTTTCGGGGGCAATAATGCGCGATCGAACATCGTCCTTCTCATTCTGTCTCGAAGGTCCTCCATCAACCTTCTGGTGCCTAATCCGGGCACGATCTTCACGTCTGACTCGGACGAGCTTTGGATGTTGGCGGAAGATGTGCCAGAATTCATTTCCCTGACGAGCTGGGCTCGCTCCATGCCGACACGTTTAGCGTTCTTAAAGACTGGGCGATTGGCTTTACTAGGTATGTCGCGGCGGCGGTTGACTTTTTTGAATGGGGTGATGTCATCGAGATAGTAAAAGGAGGGAGACCCGAGGGCAACGCCCGACTGAGACGGCGGTGCGTTGTCGAATAGCTCTATGGGAACGGGCCCAGGTAAGGTCGCGTTTTCAAGTTGATGTGTAGAAACACCATCGTGACAATCCTCTGCATGCGTAGCCGCCGGTGGGGGATGTGGAGACTGTGGAGTTGACCAGGCGGCATAGAATATTGGAGGAATGCTATATTGCGGTCTAGGATGAGCCATCTGTGGTACATGATGACTGCTGCCCTGCCGCGGCTAGTGGACCGCGATTAATAAAAAGTTTCGACATAGTCACTTGACTCACCACTGGCAGGCCTGTTACCGCTGCATCGGCATCGTGAATAGGCTGAAGCGTACTAAACGAGTGATCAATTCGAGCTTGATCGATTCGAGCTTGACCACGTCGATGATCAGGATATACTGGTAATCCCATCAGAGGGTCTGCAGTATTGTTGATAGACAGACATTGATCATCATCATGATGGTCACCGGGCTGCGATTGTTCACTGCCTCTAGTCCAGCCTAACATGATTGTGATGAGTGAAGCAAGCAGAAGATTTCAAACGTACTACATACTAATCCAAAGATATTTCCCGCCTTGCAATTGAGGCCTTGAACACGTGAAGATAATCGATTGAAAAAAAATCGCCTCCAGTCGAGAACTGAATGTACTAAGGTACGAAGGTACGAAGTAAGCACGTATTTCTACATATAGTAAACATTGTTTAACTGATTGATTATGTAATCAAAAGCCCGTCGTTCGCGTAGTATAGGAACTTTCTTTCTTTACGTTCAATCGTTATTTATATCCCCGGGTCCTTCTCGCCTAGGCTGCTGCCTCCAAGTCGATGAAGTTCGGATACGGTCCCGACAACGTAAATATACCTACGTTCGTCTCCCACCATACTACACTGCCAAAAATTTTACCGTGGTCTGACTAATGGTGATGCTATCGGGTGGCATATGAGTCGGCCCATGGAAATCCTACGGTATGCCGTGGATAGACTACAAAAAGGAAACGTGTGATCAACCATAAGCGTCGAGCATGGAGAACCAAGTTTTGCAGCATTCTGACAGGCAGCGGATTTCACGAAAAAACATTAGTATTCATTCTCCGAGATACGAGCTACTAAGGATATATAGACAGAAGACCATTAAATAAAAGTAGTAGTCAAGTGAGAATGATGGTGATCAGTCCAATGCAATGCGAAATGATGGTTATGGATGAGAAAGAGAGGGAAATATTAGCGGAGCGGCACACTGAATGTCAAACATTAGTGACAGCATGTTGTTAAGGTCGGCGGTCATTAGTGCACGGGGTTCGTCGAAGATCCCGGGATGTTGTTGCGAGGGCGTGATGTAGGAGCTGGTGCATGGTGAAGTTGTGCTGTAAATGGAAAAAAAAAAGTACTGCAGTCGAAAACTGAGCCAGTGGAAAACTTACTATTTGTACCGCTTGTGCCAGCAGTACTATTACTGTAAAGCTGGTTCAGAATGAGTGCTTGCCAGGTGTCATAAGTCTGTTGATGTTCATTGGATGGAAGGAGCTCGAGTGTGGAAGTGTTGCGAGTGTGGTTTGAGTGTAGTGGAAGTGTGGGAAATGGAAAGTGACGATTTTTTCACTAAGTCCAAACTGCGGCACATTCAACATCGAAAATTGTCAATACCACAGTAAATCAGTGAAACAAATGAAAATTGTCCCTAATGTACACCTTTGAGTCTTTGACGCTCCCGTTCGAGTAACGCTGGTCGTGTTGAAGTGAGGTTGCAGTGATTGGCTGCACAACTGTGTTGTACATTGACACTGCAGTCAGTTTGCTAAGTTGCCGTGGCGAAGGTCAATAGCTTAAGGAGTGTTGGTTTGTCTGTGTGGAAATCTCGCGCTGTACGGCCCTCAACAACACGGTACATTGGTGTAAGCACGCTGCACGTATCAAGAATATTGTGTGCGTGGGTAGTTGGTAGGCTGAGACCATGGGATGCGCAAAAGATGACAAACATGGCCAAAACATGGGCCAGTGCATGGTAATTCGGCCGTTTCCCTTTTACAGGTAAACTATCGGTAAACTATAGGATATCTATGGGTTCGTGTCGTTGAGAACTTACGGTAGACCCAGACCGTAGGTTGCATACGGTGATATTTTTGGTAGTGTATCACTTCCACTGCAATCGGCACTTTCACAAAACTCGTATTTCTAGCTACTTAAACACAAAATTCTTAATGTAAACACTGTACGTAGAAAGGATGGATTATATAATTTCAGCGGATGATAGACTTAGATAAATTCGGTGGATTATGCACCGATATCATGTATACCAGAAATCCACTGATCCGGCACGCGTCTGTTATATAACATCAGTGGATATAATCCACTGAATTTCCAGTAAATGTAGGCAGGTTTAGAAATTTGTTGGATGGTGGGAAATCAGTGGATTCCAGCTGTGTACCCCGGTCTGGGTCCAAAATACATGATGCAAGCAGTATTACTATACGGTGCACAATATGATATCTATAATGGAGGGTATCTTTCATGCGGTGATTAAGGATATCGAGGTCCGTCTCAGATCAGAGAGCTTGAGAAGATCTGCAACAGCCACCATCAAAATCAATGAGTGCATCAGTGGGTTTGGACACGAGACGCACCTTGCGCGACCTCACACTCCGAAAGTACGGCTCTTGCAACGTGAACTCAGGCAGGCAAGTACAAAACCATGTTGAGCATCGGGAGGAGGGACATTCTTGTGTGGTTGCTTGCGAGGGAGGTCGCGCAACTTACGGAGGACGAAAGTTTCTATGCCATTGCCCTACAGTGTTAAATTAGACGACTCGGAGATTCATGGTCATCAACTTTGAAGGGACGTACCATGCATTAAACTTGACGACCGACCCTACAGGTTTGATGAATGAAAATTGCTTCACAAAGTCACTTTGATCCTCACCTTTGGACATGAAGTGATCTTCGAATACATCATCCTCCGTCAAGTAGTGAGGGACGCCTGTCAAACACTTCATTAATGTTATAAATGAAGAATGAAATTATAAACCGATCTGTACAGAGGGATGTCAGCGCAACGATTCGCAGATAAGGGCCTCGATGTAAGGAAGCGATGCTCTGTCCTCGTAGGTCGGCAGCCTGTCTGGGCCGATGACACGATCGATCTCCTCTTGTAGCAGCATTCTGTTGATCGGAGGTAAGTAAAATTACACCTTAGCTCGTACGTTAATTGCTCACGTTCTCCGTTGCAGCTAGTGGACGATGTGCGTAAGTCTCATTTTGATGTAAAAAAAGGAACAATCACTGACCAAGGTGGATCGTCGTCAGGCTCGTCAGGTGCGCTGGGGGGGACTGAAGGACCTAGAGTTAGGCCCTTGAGGTGTGCTGGGACCGTTGGAGTCAAGCTCTGTGCGTTTCTTACAGAAGTTAAGTGAATTAGGCGAGTCGGGCTCGTCAGGTGTGCTGGGGGGGCTGAAGGACCTAGTGTTAGGCCCATCAGGTGTGGTACTAGTAGGACCGTTGGAGTTGAGTTCCCTGCGCTTATCAACTCCACCAAGCGCATCTGACTCAGTGTTGGGTTGCATAAGCGGGATGAGTGTCAGGTTGGCAGGGCCAGGGCTGGGAGACCCGAAGTCCCTAGCGTTATGATAGCCATGGAGGTTTGAGGCAAGCGCCTCGCGCCTAGAAAACGCTACATAGCATATTAGTATCAATCCCACTAACTAGAGTGACACGAGAGTGCTCACATCTCATCAACGACGGTGTGGGATATGCCGCAGCGATAACGACAAAGGCCATGAGCGTCGTGAAAGCATGTGAGAGCGGCATGTGGGGATCGAGAGGAGTGACCACAGTGTCGACGTCGGATCCCGTCAAGAGTCGCGAGGTCACTCACATCAAGCGGTTCGTCGTTGTCATTTCCGTCAGCGTGCACGGAAGCGGCCTTCAGCGTGAGAGAAGAAAAGACACCTCGGATGAGTGCAGAGGACAAGTCTAATATCACGGCTGTCATAAACGTACCTGGCTATGTCACAACTGGGTATAAGGGGCCGGCAGGAGAAGTCCAAAGAGTGTGCATATTTGCGCAATAAGAGTGCCACGGAGGGCATGGCAGGTGCTTTAGAGGGGTCCTGGAGGCCTAAATGAGTAAAAACACGTATAAAAGCAAAAAAGGGGCACATATAAGCATGAAGGGGGTGTGTGCATACTATAAGCACAACAAAGGAACAAGGTGAAACATACCAGGAAGGCACAGAAAGGCCGTCGGCACATGAACCTTCACATCAACCCATGTCGAGAAGGAGCAAAAAAAGGCCAGAAAACCCTGAGTATAAGCTGATATTCATAGCAATTGCAGAAATGCAAGATGCAGAAATATCGTAAAGTCCTTTGTTGTTTGTTAAATCACGTGACCATGCGTTCAATCATTGCATGCCATGTGCTCTTCCGCACGTCTGAACCTGCACATTCGTTGGACTGCCAGGTGGCTGTTTGCCCTGCATAATTTGACATTTCCTTCTCCCTCTTTAAGCTTGAAGCTTTATGGACTGCAGCTCATATGTGAAGGTTATGATGCGAGCGAGTGGTATCGGAGGGCTAGAAATAGAAATCTCAGTCTATTGGACTGTGTAGTAGAATAATATATACCTAGAAATAGAACTAATAACGAGTTAGTATAGTAAGTATCTTAGAACAAATGTGTACTCACATCTCAGTCTATTGGACTGAGATGTTCCTTTGTCGTCATCTATCTTTTATACTATGTACCGCGAATACTATGTTACTGAGACCGTATGTACCTGTGTACGCTTACAAATGAGTCCATGGTCCGTATTACTAACTCTACACATCTTGGCGTATCACCATATGACTGCGCTCAGAACTCACTCATGTCCGAATCAGATCTCAACATCATACTGGTGTGGCAGCTTCAGCGCAGCATATGATAGCAATGGTCTTCTACTACTCTCTGCGCCGTTCACAACTTGAGTTCTCAATTCACTCCGTTCTTCTCGCTAATTTGTGTGAGTAAGAACATTATCAATATTGCTTTGTAGGATTTAAGAAACCAAAGAAAGTCTAAACTGTGTCTGCTGCACCATCACCATTGCCATTACAGAGTTTGTATTACCTGTACTTGTAGTATACTCGGTAAATAGACAATTGTCCAGTGTGTCTGCTGCAAGGAGTGGTGCTGTCCAGCCATATATGGGCAATGTGATATATGTACTTAAGCTTGTAATGACAGACTAGAGTCCCCCCAAGGATTTGATGAACCAACATTGGTGTCTAATACATACATATAGCGATCTCCGGTGGTTTGAAAGATATCAAGAATCCTTGCAGGAGGATTGAAACCATTGAGCAGCTTCAAAATCACACTAATGCCAAGCTCTTCACGCCACACTGCATGTATGACAGGGCCATCATCAGAGGCTGAGCGCTGGGGGAAATGGCTGGGTGCTGGGAGGGCATGGTTGGATGCTGGGAGGAAACAGCTGGATGCTAGGAGGAGGGGGGAAACAGCTGGCGCTGAGCGCTGCGGGGAGGAGGATGCTGGGTGTTGGACAACTCACCTCTAATGTGATGGTCTTGACGAAGATCTGCATGCCACCATGAAGACACAAGACCAGGTGAAGGGTGGACTCCCTCTGGATATTGTAATCCGAGAGAGTGTAACGGCTGGTCTGAGTTCGATGGGGAATTAGTTGTATCTAGGCGCTTCTCTTTGGAGGTAGAAAGTCTTGAGAATATAGAAAGTTTCTGATAGGATCGAGTCCGTTCTTGGAGCGTGAATTCAACGGATGGATTTCTGCTAAAGTACGAGCGCACATTTTGCGGTATATAAGTGTTTGGGATCCGAACGATTAAAGCGAGAGTCGAGTAGGTAGCATGTGGAACTAGAAAAAAGAGTCGGCGAGACACGGTGACGATGGAATGAGAGCGCATGGTACAGTAAGGGAGGAGAGTAAGAAGGAATGTATCCGCGTAACTCGGATGCGAAGAGTTGAGCTCTTCGCATCAGTGAGTCACGTGGATGTGTTCTACTTGTAAGAAGTTCGAACGCCTTGTTTTTGAAGATGGGACGGTGCGTAAAGGATATACTATCCTTACATCACCCTCCCACTTCGAATATCGACCGTCCCTGGTCGATCTATCAACAAAATAAACTAAAAACAAGGGAACTGTACTTGTAGAATTACTAGAATAGAGAAAAAATTTAGCTAGAATGAAAAAAGAGAGGGAAGCGCATCTAGTCTTCGTCATTGAGTCCTTGTATGGTTTGAAGGTTGATATATTGGGTGACTTCGATAGATGACGGAGAGCGCGGATAATAAGGGATGATGCGGAATGCAGCGAACTTGAGTTTTGAGACGGCTCCATCGATTTCGGCGAGTCGATAGGATCCTCCTTGCGAGCGGGATATCACGATCATTGGTCCGAAATAGCGTGGCTTGCATTTAGCGTTGGATGCTGCTTCAATCTTCTTGTTGAGTACCAACACGAGGTCTCCGGGCTGAAATGCGTAATCATGGATGGTGTTGGCGAAGCGTCGTTTGAAATTTTCGATGGACGAAAAACGACTGTTGAGCAATCGTTGATGGATGAGCGCGAGGTCTTCGTCGCGTCTTGCTAATTGGCGAGCGCGAATGGCTAATAGATCTTGGGTGGTGAGTTGAGTGGTGATATCGGGAAGGAGGAAGGTGGCTTCGATAATGTCTAGTGGAAGTAGAGGTTCAGTGCCGTGTGCGATGAAGAATGGGCTATGTCCGGTTGATTTTCGTGTGGTAACACGGTCAGCCCATAAGACATGGTGAGCTAAGGTAGGCCACTTGGTGATATCACCGTTGCAGGCCTTCACGAGTGAGTCGCGAACGGTGCGATGCGAGCGTTCGACGATTCCGTTAGCCTTTGAGTTATAAGCTGAGATCCTAATGTGCCGAATACCATATGTTGCTGATAGCCATTCTAACGCGGCGATGAAAGCCGTGCCGTTGTCCGTAACGATTTCCTCGATACCTCCCCATCTGCACAAAATCTCCTCGAAGAAGAATGCACCCAAGGTACGTCCAGTTTCTTTTCGTAACATACGGAATTCGGGCCAATTTGATAGCGAGCAACGGGCTTGGACGATGTACGTGAATCCATGCGACGTAGGCATGTACATCGAGTCTGCGAATGCCTTACGAAAGAGTGTTGAAGGGATGGCGACGATGGGTGGGATGATAACTTTGGTGACTGATCTGATCTGACATTGGTGGCACGTTTTAAGGTACCATGCGAGGTCCTTGTCGAGCGATGGCCACCAGAAACGGTCGGCGATTGTTCGACGCGTGGGGTAAAAGCCTCTATGGCCAAGCTCGTCGTGGGTCTGAGCGAGAAGTCGAACACGATCGGTGCTGAAAAGCACGAGCTGGTGGCGACCATTAGACTCTTTTCGCCAGAGGCGGTTGCCTCGAACGAAGAACTGATGTGCTCGTTTTGAGAGACGGGCTTGATCCTTGCTTGAGGTGTCCGTGGGGAAGGAAAGGGTGTCGAGGTAGGATTGGATGGTGCGTAAGTCGTTATCGAGGCGAGAAGTAGTGTTATCTGCGGGGATCTCGACGTCTGGCAAGTTAGTTGTGATGGTGGTAACAACGGCACTCGGCGCCGTATCAATCTCTTTAGCTACCCATACTCCTGAATCCAGCATCTCGTCTATCCATTGCTCTACGTCGTCCATCGTTTCCTGTTCTTCATCGTCGTCTTCTGGGACTCGTCGACGACGAGATAATCCATCGGGTCCTGCGTGTTTGGCTGCTGGTACGTGTCTGAGTCTGAAACTGAAAATAAGAATTCCTGCTATCCATCTATTTACGGCCGCATTAGGTTGGATGTCGGGATTATTCAACATGCCCTTAATATATTTAGCGTCGACTTCCAGAACGAGATTGCGTATGCCGATAATCCAAAGTTTGACTGCCTTGAGAGCTCGAAACACACCGTACAGCTCGATCTTAGCTTGGGAGTAACGGGATTCCCGTTCATCCCACGTAATCGAGCCGAATCTTGAGGGATAGCGCCGTCCGTTTCTGATTTGGAGAAGGATCCAGCCGCACGCAATCTGCGATGAGTCGACCGCTAAAACGACTTCATCTGAGGACGTGTAATCGATTGGGGTGATTGCGGGTGAGTTGATGACGGCGGTCTTGAGCGTGTCCATAGCTAGCTGCGCTTCAGGGGACCAGTTGAAGGGTGTGTTGTTGCGAGTTAAGTTCGTGAGAGGGCGGCTGATGGCTGCATAGTCCTTGATCCAGTTTCGGACCGTTCCTGCCATGCCCAAAAATCCGCGAACCTCGGTGCGAGACGTGCAGGCAGGCCAGTGTTGGATTTTGGACACTTTAGACGAGTCTGGGATGCGTCCGTCGTAAGTACATAACTGGCCGACAACGAGAACTTGGGGCACACAGAGAAACAGCTTAGAAGCTGATACTGTAGCCCCCGCGTGCTTCAAACGGTGCAGGACGCGATTCGCGTCTGCACAATGCTCCCAGACGAACCTTCGGATACCGGCGTTATCGGGAATGCATTCGTGAGAGCCATCGGGCAACTCGTAGCGTGTCCGAGGTCCAAGAACATTGACGTCGTCCTGAAAATTGGGTGCGACCTCGATTTCGGCTTGAAGTATGAACGCGACGTCGTTTTGAAAGACAGCGGGAGAATCTGTCCATCCCTGAGGGAGGACGGTAAGGCGATAAGTACCAAGGGGGGTTTGGAATGTGGTGATGTCGCGAGACTCTTCTGCGAGTGCGCGATGGTCGAATCCGACGAACAAGTCCATCATCGAGTAGATGGAGCGTCCTGCACACTGTTCTGCGAACAGTTCGATGTAGGGCATAGTAGCCGCAT